ATCCTATCCATATTAACATAGACAATTCAAGCTAGTTTCTACAAATGCAAGATAACTGTGGTACAATGTGAACTCAACAGTCCTGCCAGAAGACTTGAAATTGTAGTTCCAACACTTTCTATGATAACTTTACTTAGGATGATGAATTTAAACCAGCATAAAGTAATTAATCGAAATTTTTCCTTCGTCCATACCGTTCACTAAACTCTTGAATGCTACTATCATGTATCTGATGTTCGAGTTACAACTACCAATCTGTCCATTCGTTCCTAAATACCGAAATAACTAAAAATCTAAGTTCTAACAAAATTTTAGCGTAAAAATATATAATAAATAATCACACAGTAAAGAAATAGAAGTGAAGAAGCTACCTGAATCCCTGATATCCGAAACGATCTTGAGATTACAGAAGGAAAAGACGCAAGCAAAGATCTGCTCACCATTGTGATTTATTGAGTACTCGAAATTTATAAGCAGATGCGACGCAGATGATGATAGTGCTCTGTTTCTTAGAAGTAAATCCATTGCTGCAATTAGAAGAATCATCAACCAGCCACGAACAACAAATAAAATTGAATTAAGCAATGCTGCCATGAATTTACAGACATTGAATATGCGTACACTCTCAGCCGCTGCTAAAGCAGTGTTCATGCTGCGACTCAAGCATTAATGAATTATAGTTTTATCCCCCATAGTTTAATCTAATTGCATTTAATTTTAATGTGTTTTTTTAATGATAATCTATAACTTGTATATAAAATCATTTCTTCGGTGAATAATTTCAAATATTTTGAGTTTTTTTTTTTTCCGTAATTTTGAATTTTTTTTGTTGAACTTTCACATCCTTTTATTTGAAAGTTTGAAGAAGTGTAAATATACTTTTTTAAAAGTAAATTTTTACATATAATAATAATAAAAAAAACAAAATATAAAGTACTAAGTTGTTACAAATAAATATCCAAATTGAAATATAGTTACGAGAGCATTAAACCACACTTTACCAAAAAAAAGTTATAGAGATTAGTAATACCAAGAAGTTATGTGATAAAAAAAATCAATAATTTAACAAATGTAAGATATCATAAAGTATTTTAAGATACCATGAGTTATATTAACTAAATATTAAAATTCATTTATAAATTTTTTATTCAATTTAATTATTTATATATATTATATGATTATTATTTAATTGATTTAATAAAAATAATAATACTAATATAGGTAAAAATTAGTTAAGAATTAATTGAAAATAATTTTGGAGAAAATGAGTGAAAATTTGGATTCTGTGAGTATTTTTGAAAGAAAAATCGAAACCCGAACGTCAAAACACAATTTAGAAAAGTTATGTCACGTCAGCTGCCCGGTCAGCAGTCCCGACCAACAAGGACGCGCCAGGTGGCAGAGGCGCTGACGCGGGAGGCCACGTGTGTGATCCGCGTGCGCGCGATCAAACGGCTAAGA